ACACACACACACAGACAAACACACACACACAGACAAACACACACACAGACAAACACACACACACACACACGCACGCACGCACACATACACGCCCACACACACACACACACCCACACACACACACACATCATCCAAACGCCAGTCGTGGGCCATCCGTTTTCGTGATGGTCTGCGCTGTACGTTTGCGGACACATAATCAATGGTCACGCATCGATTGCCCTTCGCCGCACTTCCTGGCGTGGGGCATCTTTGATCGTGGCCGCACACCACACACACATACTCGCACACACACACCTCACACACAAACACAACTCATCCATACACAACTTACTCACACATACTCGTCCACACATAACTTACTCCACACCAATCCTTCACCATCTCTTTTCTCTTTCTTGCTTACCCCATGCCGTCTTTGCCTTTCTTTTGTTGCTTGTTGGAAGAAGTTGACTTGTGGGGTTATCCGGTCCTTTAATTATCCCACCCCACCCCACAGGCTAGAGACAATTTCATAGCGTAGCAGCGTAGCATCACCATAGTGTGCAAGTGCATATGAACGTTATTATCCCACCACCCCAAATGCTAGAGACGATTTCATAGCGTAGCATCACCATAGTGTGCAAGTGCACATGAACGTTTTTATCCCATCCCACCCCACCCCACCCGAAACTGCGAAAAGGCACGTACCGTTTCCCAGGCGCCAGCGAAACCATGCATCAACTCAAGTTTTGTTTGTACACATATTGTCTCCATAAGGTGCCTTGCATCGGAAGCAAAATCAGCTTGTGAATTACAACGTAGATTGTGGACTGCGACCATTGCGACAGTAGTTTGTGAGACATTGCAAAGCTTTAAGAATATTCCCAGCATTGCTGTTTTCTTGCCAGAGCTTCGGAGTCTAGATTGAACTGCTTTGTCATTCATGTGTGTCTCCTTGAAGCATGCAATTCAGCTTTTCCTGTTTCGGACTCTTGAATGAAGTACCGTGACCTGGCTGAATAAAGAAGAATCTACCATAAATGCTTCGCTCTCACAGACGCTCATGAAGAGATGCGTTGCTCTCTGAACCAGGGAGCGTTGCACTGCACTGGCAGGCTGCCCGTACCGTTTTGGACCAGGAGCGCTTGTCTGACTAATTCTTACCAAATCGTAACCGCTGCAAGCAATGAAGGTGCAGTTGCGAGGGCGTTGGCTAATGGTGTCAATTTTGGCCAAAGCGTTCAGCAACGAAAGTCAACCTGAAGCCTTGCGCTGTTTGAGCCATTTATGATGTTGAACCCAAAAATAGATGGTTAAGGTTTGCCCTTATGAACGCGATTGTTCGTGGCTGGTGTATAGACTTATAACCAAACATTGTGGGTTACATTAGCCATAATTACATCATCACGGATTGGTAGATTAGGCGGGAATCAACCACGCAGCCATGTCGGGCAGTCGCTGGGCACCCAACTACTTCGAGCGAACATCAGCAGAGGTATTGCAGGAAGATCATTCCGCGAGCAAGCAATGATTTCTACAAGCTATAACGTCCCGGAAGATGTATTCGCAGTCGAATACATACATAGCGCCCAGGCAGTACACAAGGCATCGATTGCCCGGACAGCGGCAGCGCTCCAAGTGAAAGCGGCCAGCTGTGCAGAACGTGACACAACCCCAGTTACAGCTGATGGCTCTTCAAGGGCAAGGGCCTGCAGGCGGGGCTGCAGCTGAAGAATGTCAGATAGAGTGTCACAATAGTGCCATAATCGATGTCAGATAGAATGCCAGATAGAATGTCAACGTTTTTTTGCCGCAAAGAATGTCAGACAGAATGGCAGAACATATTGCCATGTCTATTTCTAGATGGTATGTCATAAACTTTGGCAGTATAATTTTCAGGATGGGGATTATTCGAAATTTCAATTCCATCTCTCTTCACTGCGTTGTCCCTTGTTAATCATAGGAAGCATCATCTGGCTCATCTATAGGGGGAAACCGCCTTGTTGTTGTTGTTGTTGTTGGGTTATTGCGCCGTGAGGCCAGCGTTACATGACCCCTCACATGACCAGCTGAGGCGAGAGACGGGCGGATTTCCCTTGCCAGGGCTGCGACTCCTAGAGGACACAGATCGAAAGAACCTGCTGAGTGAACTACCGTATCACGACATATTGTTGGCTACATTATGTATACAGTTATTCACGCAGTATCAATATATATATATATATTGTATATATGTAAATATATTGTTTATATCGTACTATATTACGTATCATCGATTGAATTTTCATAGTATATCACATAAATAATTATGCCACTATAGACTATAGTATATCACAGTATATATTCTATGTGTTGAATTTTCCCTATTCTATCTACCCCAGGATTACTATCTATCTATTTATTTTTTTCTATTAAGGAAGAAAATACATAAATATATATATATATATTTACAAATTTTTTGGTCGTTTTCAAAGTCATGGGGGTACCTCAATTCAACCAAGTCATGGATGACCACGACTTAGCATTGAAACAGCCTGGTGACTTGGAGCTCCATTGTAAGAAAACCCTGGGTCCCGCAACAAGGTGGATTTAACCAATACAATGGAGATATTAATGTAATGGTCACTGGTTAGACATGGTTAGCGGACAATGGTAAGTGATATGGTTACTGTTGGTTACAAAATGATGGATAATTGATGGAAAATTCATCTCATAAGAACCCCAGTTCATGAAAACATCCAACACAAGACTAGGGTTTCAAAAAAATATTCTAAACAACTTGGAGAAAGGGCATCCAGGATTGGCCACGAATTCAGAACTTGTTGGTTGTGTGGGGCTATACTAGTTGGTTGGGGATCGTGACATCCATTCAACCAAGGGGATGACCCATCCACAAAAACTACCAAGTTGGCAACAATCTGATCAGCAAGTAATAGAACTAGTTTGTTTTCCGAACAACTACTGTATGACCAGCACAGTATTGCTGCGGTGGATTGTGGACATACTACACTTGGATGTTTAGCAGATGAATTTATATGGATTTAGTTAATTGTTGAACAGGGGATGAGGAAATAGTAGATGAAATTTCATGGGTTTACCGGTTTTATCTCAACTTTTGGTACGGGATCAACAAACCATTTAGATTTACCCTCTGGTAAACGTTTACAAAAAAGGATGGAAAATCACCATGTTGAATGGGTAAATCAACTATTTCTATGGGCAATTTTCAATAGCTATGTTAGTTTAGCAGAGGGTAAGCCTTTGCAGATATGATAAACCCCAGCCATCAGATAGCGTAAATCCACTATTTCTATGGCTCATTTTCAATAGTTTTTTGTATGTTTACCAGAGGGTACATGTTGTATTTCTGGTGCGAGGATAGACACGACCCATTGGCGACAGCAGATTTGCTGGTGGACGTGGGAGGACCACGGGGGCAGTTTGGTGATGTTTTTTGCGGTGAGGATACCCAAAAAATACTTGGATGTGCATCCCGCGAATCGGATCCGTGGTTTATAGTCCATTAATCTAAACCATATTTCATTCCATGAATCTAACTGAGGGGGTAACTTGAACCATTTGCGACTCAGTGTCGCCCGCACCCCCAACAACAACCCCCCAAACCCATGGTACTTCCGGAAGAGGCCATGGAACCAAGGTCCTACCATACTACCATCAGTATGCGTTCAGGTCTTGGGTCATGGTGGAACAACAAGGAAGGAATGCTCGCACCATAGGTATCCATAGGTATTCTGGGATTTCTGAGGAACCTTTACACTTCGGGTTTCTAACGTGGTGAAAATGCACCATTTCGATATTCCGTTGTGGTACAGGGAGGTAATGCCAAGTAGTGATGTGCTGAACCACGTGGTCAAACTCACCAGGAGAAGTGACTTGGAGATCCACTCAGCACTTGCAAGCGGAGTTGCTCGGGAGTGCACAGGGGCAGTACTTGGATGTGCGGGACCCCTTTAGTGGTTAAGACGCTGATGGCTGGGGTTTATCATATCTGCAAATGGCTTACCCTCCGGTAAACTAACATAGCTATTGAAAATTGCCCATAAAAATAGTTGATTTACCCATTAAACATGGTGATTTTCTATCGTTTTTTGTAAACGTTTACCAGGGGGTATAGGATGGCTGTGGTGCACGTTGGATTCACCGGATGCATCCCTCACCCTTCACTTTAGTCATTCGTTGGACGCGCGGCGTCGGTACATTTTTGGGATCGCGGACTCCTCATACAGGAGTTCACTGGTTTTTTGACATCGTACATCATACTTAAATCTACCCTCTCGTAAACGTTTACGTAACTAAATACGGACAATCACCATGCTATTCATGGGTAAATCAACTATTTCAATGGGCAATTTTCAATAGCAAACTGTAAACGTTTACCGGAGGGTACAGAGGATTCTTGAGAGTCCCTAAAGTCACACCACTCGAGGCCCGTCATTGCCTGATCGTGGAACCAGTCATTCAAAACCTCAGTGATGCATTTGCCCCAGGCTATCAGGAGAATCGAGTATAGCAAATCCTAAAGTTATACAGCTAGCAGAATCCCAATACTCAAGTTGGAAAGCGAAACTTTACTTTTTGAGTATATTGTATACCGAACAAAAGATAGAACCGTGTTTCCAGAATGGTTTAGATGGTATTCATTTCATATTTCCAGGTTTTTGACTTTTCTACGACTTGGGGTTGCTATACACCCAATGTTTAGTACTAAGTTAAGCCAACTGAGAGGTCTTGTGAAGCTCGGTTCCGCTCCGGATTCGGCAGTTGTTTTTTGATTCAAATGTGGATGTTGACCTGAAATGGGGGGATACCATATAGCCCCCAAATGGCCACTTGAACAGGGATGATAAAATATTGTTACTTTTAGGGGTACATTTTTTTTTTGAGAAACCCATCTATAGATTTTAAAATATTATCTATTGTCATATAAGTATGAAAAGAACATTTATCATATATCATTCACTATATCTATTTGGCTGCACGCTTCTTAGAGAAACACCAAGGTTAGACGAGAAACTTTGGCACAGCGCCTCCGTGGATAGCCAGGCGGAACGGCACGGGGGTACCTGAGAGTTCTGTAAGGGAACCCAGCAATTTTGATTGGTTAAATTATGGACAACCCATCGAATTTCGATGGTTTCTTATGGTTTTAAACCTCTTGTGTTCCTCCTTAGCCTTGTTTTCTTAGGTTTAAATTCTCATTTTTAGGCAAATGCATATCCGAGTCTTGGTGATCTATTCATTTAATTCCTTATATATCACCATTGTTGCTGCTTTACCCCGAGTCTGCTAGTTAAATCCTCAAGTAATCTCAGTGCGTCTTGGTTTAGCTGACTAGATGCCTCGCGTGCCGGCGTAGCCTTTGCCTAAAACGATCATAACATATCCCCAGTTTAGCCTTTCTGGGCCGAGGTATAACGCATATTTTGATTTAAGAATAGACCATGAATACATTACTAGCTGGTATTACAGGCTCCCAAAATTCCAACAAAAAACATTGATAGTCATATTTATCACTCATCTGGTTGTCAATAAAAACCAACATTCTTAACCGGTATCCATTCCACAACATGAAGGAATGATGATGATTGTTTTAAGCAGTAATCGCTTGAAATAGTAAAAGAAATTGCAATGAACATCCAGTGACCAGTTTATAGATCAGTCACTATTTTTTTTACATAGTGATGATATCGTCACAAGTATATTGGCTATATTGATTAGTGACAGCATGTGACAGCGATTATTCCACGAACGTTTTAAGAAAAAGATGGGTTTAGACTAAATTACTTGATCTAAAACTGTCAACAACAAACTGTCTAGCAACTGTAGGTTTAAACAACAACCAGTTCTTGAGTGCTGCAGAAAAAATCCTATCAACTGCTATTGAGTATAGATAGGTGTCTATCAACCCATCATTGATAGTTATGAACTGACAATTATCCGACAATCATGTTCAAGCATACATGGGATCCGCTCTAAAATGCGTTCAAATTGTTAAATCCGAAGGACGTAAATAATTGGGCAGTGATGCATTTTAAATCTCACTAGAAAGGGGAGTCCTGTATATATGCAGTGAAATTGTGTCCCTGCACCTTGGCGCTAGGTTTGCGTTAGTGTGGCGCTAGATTTTTTCTTAGCCATTGAGCAATTGAAGTACCCTCTGGTAAACTAACATAACTATGGAAAATCACCATTTTTCATGGGTAAATCAACTATCAATGGCCATTTTCAATAGCTATTTTGACATAACCAGAGGGTAAAATATTGTCAGGCCCAATGCTTTCTCTGCCTCTTGCTCTCTTGCAACTGCTGTTCCCGGTCCAACTCCACAGTACCCTTTACGTAAACCTCTTTGAGGTTTAATCACCATTAATGGTGATTAATAGGGATTAATGGTGATTAATAGGGATTAATAGTGATTCATATAGTGATTAGTAGTGATTCATAACAGGAACACAAACTGTGACTTGTGAAGATATGTGAAAGCAGCTGCTTTTCAAGTTTTCACGGCTGGGATAAGCGTAGCTCTGGCGGTAGATCCGCCCGCGCTAGATCCGCGCTGCCTTTGAAAACCCAACAGGACTGTTTGCTTCAAATGCAGCAACGCGACAGACAGCCGGTAGCAGCAATTAAGATAGAAAAACATGAGAAAGCACGATTAAAAAAACATTATCAACCTATCAAGAAAAATCACAGTTAATTACATATTAGAATTCTTCCTCCAGCCAACAAAGGCCGTGCGTAACAGGTGTTCGACGGATCACTTTCCACGAAACGTTTGCCATTTTCAGGTTATATTCTAAGTTTCTGGAGGGTATCACTAGTTATTAAAAGATCATTGTCAATCATTGTCCCATACCGGTAAATCCCATAAAATCCAAATAAATCTCAACTTTTGCTGGCAAAATAAAATCACCGCTTTCTTTAGTCAAATCTACATGCATATTTTCTCCGGGTCAAACCCCATCAACATTTATAATCATCATTAATCACCATGGACCGTTAAAGTCTCATTGGAATTCCATTCAAAGCCCATATATCCCCCGACGGTTTGTATGCTGAAACATCTGATGCCCAGGCAGAACAATGGACTCCCATAGGAGTATGTTCCAAGGGTAATCGGCTCGCAATAGTCATATAATTTGTTTATTATCATTAGTCACTTATGAACAGATCACTGTCCCATACCATTAAATCCTGTTCAATCCTCTTCAACCCCAATCGATCACCATTTTTTGCTGGTAAGATCTAAATTATTACCATGGAATCCCATTAAAAACCAATGAACAACTGATATCCCAATAAATAGCCAAATTTGCTAGTAAAACCCATATTGTAAACCATTGAATTCCCTTAACATCCCAATCAAATCCCATTAAATTCCCAATAAATCATCATTTGTTCGATGAATATCCATCTCATTTATCCATCATTTTGGAGATTTCATGCATTTAGCCATCATCATTCACTTGTTTCATCACCATTTTTCCATTCATTTTTCGCAAGTCGCCATCATCACTCCATCCATCATTAAATCCCATGGTGATAAATATTACATTAGATCTCCATCCCAATCATCCCCCTCCATTTCCCATTAAATCCATCATTACTATCCCGTTAATTCATCCATCCATCCATCCATCCATCCATCCATCCATTAACTCTTTTGAAATCCCATTAAATTATCATTTTTGCCGGCTAAATCCATGTCATCCATCCATCACCATCCACCTGTCGTTTCAGGCGCTGCTTGAGCTCCTCCGCGCCACGCCGTCGGATCCGTCGGATCCGTCGGACCCAGCGGCCCTGTGGCGCCGCTGTGCGCGGCGGCTGGACGTGGCGGAGGCGACCGGTGGAGGGTTGGAGGTGATGGGATGATCATTAGTAATTAGTGATTATTAATAGTGATTGGTGAGTGATTATAAAAGATTAGTATAGAATAAAGTAATCATAAAATATTAGTAATTAATAATAGTCACTATTAATAATCACTATTAATAGTGCTTAGTGATTGATAATAATTAATAATAATAGTGATTAATAGTGACTTCGTGATAACTACTGATGATCATTATTAGTGTTAATTAGCCTGACTAATAGTGATTGGTTAGTGAATAGTAGTTGGATGATCATGAATAATAGTGATCATACTAAAAGGGGAATTATCATTAATAGTGATTAATAACAGTGCTTAGTGACTTTGTGATTACGTCTGATGACATATTGTGAATCATCATTAATGGCTATAATTAATGATTCATGATGATGCTAGGGATATCCAAGTTTTTGTTAATGGGATTTGCTGGTGGAACTTGATGGGACTCAATCAAGGGTATGGATTCAGTATGATCCATCATCTAACAGTGAATTAATGATTACTCCCTGGTAAATTAACATAACGAACCGAAAATCACAATTCTTAATGGGTAAATCAACTATCAATGGCCATTTTCAATAGCTATGTTAAATTACCAGAGGGTAATAATCGAAGGAAGTTTAGACGTCAAACTTCCGACAGATGAAAAGCAGAGCAGGGAAGAGGCAGAGAGAAGAGAAAGATTAGAAGAAAGAAGAGTAGAAGAGAAAGAGTTAGAGGAAAGAAGATGCAGATGCGTGAAAAGGTAGGAAAGTCGCGAAACACTGTGTTTTTCCAATGATTTGGGGGTCCGGAGGGTCGAAAAGTAGGCTCGCTAAAGCGGCGGGTGCGGAGCCAGCTGGCCAGATGAGAGATGAAAAAGTACACGCCGTTGCGGCGCGAAGCACATTTGCAAGTCAAAATGTACAAAACACCCGGGTCTCGGAGCACTTTTGGAAGTTGGGATGTCGAAAAAGTGCACGCCGTTGTGGCGCGAAGCACATTTCCAAGTCAAAATGTACAAAACACCTCAGCGTCAGACCACTTTTGGAAGTTGCGATGTCGAAAAAGTGCACACCGTTGTGGCGCGAGGCACATTTCCAAGTCAAAATGTACAAAACACACCAGTTTCGGACCACTTTTGGAAGTTGCGATGTCGAAAAAGTGCACGCCGTTGTGGCGCGAGGCACATTTCCAAGTCAAAATGTACAAAACACACCATGTACGGACCATTTTTGGAGGTTGTCGAAAAAGTGCACGCCGTTGTGGCGCGAAGCACATTTCGAAGTCAAAATGTACAAAACACACCATGTACGGACCATTTTTGGAGGCTCAAATGTCGTTTCGCGTGGCAGGTGCAAGGGATTGTGGACCTTGTCAAAAGTGACCAAAACGTGAGGGTTTTGTAGCATTTCCAAAAATGATGGCAGGCATGGGACATTTGAAGAGGATCTGCAAAGATGCATTTTCGTGGCAGGCGCAGTACAAAAGACATGTTCATGAGAGATGTTAGGAGGGCAGGGCGCTGATTTCCTGAGAGGGGTTGCATTTTGGAGTATCAGATGTGCAGGTTTGCAGATCTTGCAGATAGATAGATAGATAGATGGATAGATAGATAGACAGACAGACAGACAGATAGATAGCGAGAGAGAGAGAGAGATATAGATAGACAGATAGATAGATCGATAGATAGATAGATAGACAGATAGATAGATAGATCGATCGATAGATCGATAGATCGATAGATAGATCGATGGATAGATAGATAGAGAGACAAATAGCTAGAAAACTGGAGAGCTAGATAAATAGATAGGGAGATAGATAGACAGAGAGATAAATAGATAGATAGACAGACTGATCAGTAGGTAGGTAGGTAGGTAGATAGGTAGGTAGGTAGGTAGGTAGTAAGATAATCAGAGAAAGATAGAGAAACAGAAAGAAAAAGAGAGAAAGAGAAAAAAGAGAGAGAGAGAGAGAGATCAAGCACCTTTCAGTCCATCAGTGGCTTCGCTCTGCCATCCCTGATTCACAACAACCAAGCTCTCCTATAGGTTTCCTATTTTTGAAACTTCCGCCACCGCCTTGTGCGGTACTACTGGTAGTGATTAAAATATACAGATGATTGAGACATGGTTAAGTAAATAGGAAAAATAAGTGATGAGGTATAGGTGTGAAATGATGGGGAAAACTTAGATGGCTAGGTAACCGGTACAAGGTGAGCTCCCCCAGGTATGAGTTGGTTTATAAATCCATGAGCTATAGAAATATCATAATATCTACCACACACCATGGACCATAGTATCTCAGATTGGTCAACGGAAATCGCAAGAAGGTGACACACAGAATTGGTGAAGTGTTGGGTTGATTCGGGAAATGTAGGGGGGTTTAGTAATGGATGTTAATGGGGTTTAATGAATGTGAATGTGCCTTAGTTAATGGGTGCTAATGGGGTTTATAAACTAACAAACATTCACGGTCATGGGGTGTATAAATCATAAACGATCAGTCATAGTTTTTTGGCGACTTCACCTATACTGTAGTTGTTCCCACAGCCCGGGTGCAAAGCCGAGGAAAGTGAACTGGATGCCGTAGGTGCGGATGGGCACAGGATGGGATATGTTCAGTATAGAATGACAACCCATTGTAATTTCGGGGTACCCCATTTTCAGACAAAACCAAATATTTTTTTTCACATATGGAGTGTGAATGTAGCGAGGTATATGTGAATGTTCCCCTTTGTACAAATACATAGATGCTGGTTGGTGGTTTCAAACATGTTTAATTTTCCATACTATATGCGATAATCCTTCCCATTGACTAAAATGTTTCAAGATGGTTAAAACCAAAAAGCAGGATGTGCATGCATTCTCAGGCCTAAACTCCTATTGGTGAGTTTCTCAACAAACGCTTCGCAATCACACACGCACATGCTGATTCACCGGATGAAATTGTCAGTTTTGCTGGCTAAATGGTTTGATGGTGTTTGACTTCACAATTTTGCTGGTTAACTTTCTATTGTGTTTCTGTTTGACTCGGCATTTTTGTTCAATCACCCATAATTTTGCTCCAATTTTCTAATAACCACCCTTTTTCAACCATTGTGCATGTTAACTCCCACTCAATCCCTATTTGGTTTGCTCAACCCGTGTGCTTGTTGTTTCAATCAGCATAACTTTGCTGGCGAAACAGGCGATGAGCTCCTGAGCCAGTGGCTCAAGCAAAACGAAGAGGGCACATCCGAAGCAGGCGACCGAAGCAACCATTTTCGGTTGCCGTGAAGATTTTGGCATTCCCCAGTTTTGGGGTATGATGGATGGATTGAAGTGAAAAAAACAATTTGGTCTTGGGGGGTTCCTAAAACAGTTTTTCCATGTTTTGTTCTATGGGTTGACTCCCCATGAAATGAACCAGAACCCCCAAAAAAGCCCCCAAGATGAGTGAATGACACTAGATGCACCTTTCCAATCCATGAGATACCCCCAAAAGCATCATCCGTCATGGATGACCATGACTTAGTATTGGTTCACCAACCATGGTGATGTCTGGGGTATCCCCATGACTTGGGAAACCTCCGGAAAAAGTCTACTAGCTCCAGATGGATGAAAGCCATGAAAGCCATGGCCCCTTTAGTGCGATGATTGGTATACAGGATGGGGCCCCCGTTCGATAGCGTTCAGTTGCCTTATTTTTGTGGCTGAATTCTAGGGTTCATTGTAGATATAACTATAGCATTCATGGGGGTTATACTGGTTTATAAACCAACCTACAACTGGGGGGGCCCATCCTGTTAATGGGGTTTAATAATTGTTTAATACATGTGAATGTGCATTAGTTAATGGATGTTTTCATGGGGTTTAAAAACCAAAACATCACTGGGGGGCACCATCCTGTAGCCCCCATTGTTTTTTTTATAGTCGGCCAAAGGTGAGAAATCTTTGGAAGTCATGGCCCATTCCGATGATGTATGATGATTTACGGTTAAGTAACCCGAGGGTAACTCTATATATATTATATATATTTGGTGGTTCCACATAGTGCCATATGACTGGGATGATGATCACAGATACTTGCTTCGTTGGTTGCTGTGCTATGTACCCGGGCTGGATGATGGGAATGTTTTCTTGTTTTAATTCGGGTGGCTCCCCAATTGTCATAATTTGCTATCTGGTTGGTGGTTTGGAACATTTTTTATTTTTCCATCTAGTGGGAATTTCATCATCCCAACTGACGAACTCCATCATTTTTCAGAGGGGTAGGTCAACCACCAACCAGCTATTCAACTGTTACCCTTCCAAATTAAAACAGCCCAGGGCAGAAAGATCCGGGCTTGATATTACCCTCTGGTAATTTAACATAGCTATTGAAAATGACCATAGAAATAGTTGATTTTCCCATTAAAATTTGTGATTTTCCATAGTTTTTTGTATGTCTACCAGAGGGTATTGCCCATTGATCAAACCGATTGACCCTCCAAGAAGCGAATGGTCTGATATTACAATGTGGGGCCCCTGTTTACGATAGCTAAGTTGGTGAACATATCTCCAACAACCATGGTTTGTGATAATATCTTATATAGCTATAGAGTTCATGGTTTATGATACCTATAACTTCAATGACTATCTGGTTGGTGGTTTGGAACATGTTTTATTTTTCCATCTATTGGGAATGCCATCCTCCCAGTTGACGAACTCCATCATTTTTCAGAGGGTGGGTCAACCACCAACCAGATCATTGACCATATAATACCCACCATCATTAACCATCATCATTAACCATATATCAACTTCAATGACTATAGTTTGAAACTATTAACCATCATCATTAACCATATATTAACCATCATCATGAGCCATATATTAACCATTTATTAACCATATAATCACCATATATTAATCACCATTAACAATATATCTATGTTTTTTTGGTCGATATCTACTGTTCCCCACCACACGGAGAAATCTGTTTCACCGCCAGGTTCCAGCAGCCTATTTCCCAGCAGTGGCACCTTGGAGGATTCTTTGTTGATCCGGGGGTCCTTGAGGTTTTTAAAGATGGCTGGGAAATCCCTTGAAGAAAATGGTGAAAAAACTAGGTGGGATTCTCTTAAAACATTGCATAAACCATAGTTAATTCACCAACTTACACCAACTCAGCTATCATAAATCAGCTAAATCAGCTATACCCTCTGGTAAATGTTTACATAGCTATGGAAAATCACTATGTTTAATGGGTAGTTCAACTATAAAACTGGCTATTTTCAATAGCTATGTTAGTTTACCAGAGGGTAAAGAAAACGGTGGAAACTATAGGTGGTGGGGTTTTCTTAAAACGTGGCATTTCTATGAAACCTTTATGGTCTTCATAAATGGGGAGATGATGGTGATTTCCTCCCAATACAAGGCGGATTTATGAGGATGTGAATGGGGATGTGCTGGAGATATAAGTGGCAACCTAATTATTTTCATTTGTGTGATTGATTGCCTTGTTTAGGAAGCCCACGAAATGGGATTTTTGCTGTTGCAATTGGGTTACAACCTCACTTATGAGTTACATCCAGTGGTGACCCTTCAAATACAGAGGCTCAGCCAGCCAAACATGGTTTGCAACCACCAGAGTGTGGGATTTCCACAACTAGAATTGCAGCAGCAAGACTGGTGGATGTCCCTTCTATGGGTGTTATCTGATTGGAATTTGTCTATTGCCCGAGGGTAATCATCCCTGCCAACTCCTGAATTGGTCCCTGATTTATTTCAGGTGATATTACCACGCATCTTGGTCAGATTTCCATCTCTTTTCACTTGCATCTCGATTGTTGGTGATTACATCCGCCTCCAATGCTGATCCCTGTCTAGAAAGATGGTGACAGTGATGACTTACAACCTCATCAACCTCAACCCCAAAACACACACAATGAACGAAGTGGATGGTAACGGATGGTACACATTTTGAAGTACTGTAATTATGTTCTAAACATGTTCTTCGAAATACATGTTTTCTCGAAAGAAAGATTATGAAAATAACAATCATAGAACATTTGTGCATGATGTTTGAAAATAATTAGATTATGAGTATATAATGGCTGGTAAATGTTCCAAACGAATGAACCAACCACAAGCTCCGAAGCAAATTTCTTCATTTCCCATAAGTTCACCATATTATTTTCCATTGGACAGTCCATTGGTTACTCCATTGGAAAATCCCTAGGTTAATTCACATATAGGGAGGTTTCCTGAAATGGGAATGCCCCTAAATCAATCTAAATCATCCCCTGGTTGGTGGTTTGGAACATTTCTCATTTTTCCATATATTGGAAATAATCATCCCAGCTGACGAACTCGTATTTTTCAGAGGGGCAGGTCAACCACCAACCAGTCCATTTATAGATGGATTTTCATAGGAATATCATCAACCCATCCGGCGATAAAGGGGTACCCCCATGACTATGGAAACCCCCGTGACTATCGCTGGTGACATCCCCGCCCCAGGTATCTCGGCACCGCGCCGGGGCGATCTGCTCCTCACCGGAGCGCATGCCTTTGCGGCGGGGACGCAGCAGTTCCTACACAAGGCGAACCCATCAGTAGCGGCAGAGATCTTATGGCAGAGTAGTCATTATAGTGATTTTTATAGTTATTAATTGTAATATCATGATGGCAGTAATCTAACTATTATAGTTATAATGATTGCTATTACAAAACAATCTGATATTATAGTTTATTTTAAATCATTTGGTTACAATCAACTAGAATCGAAGGAAGTTTAGAAGTCAAACTTCCGACAAAATGGACAGATGAAAAGCAGAGATGGAAAGGGTCAGAGAGAAGAAAAGCAGAGATGGAAAGGGTCAGAGAGAAGAGAAAGATTAGAAGAGAGAAGAGTAGAAGAGAAAGAGTCAGAAGAAAGAAGATGCAGATGCGCGAAAAGGTAGGAAAGTCGCGAAACACCTTGGTTTTCCAATGATTTGTGGCTCCGGAGGGTCGAAAAGTAGGCTCGCTAAAGCAGCGGGTGCGGAGCCAGCTGGCCAGATGAGAGATGAAAAATTGCACGCCGTTGTGGCGCGAAGCACATTTCCAAGTCAAAATGTACAAAACACCTCAGTCGGACCACTTTTGGAAGTTGAGATGTCGAAAAATGCACGCCGTTGTGGCGCGAAGCACATTTCGAAGTCAAAATGTGCAAAACACACCAGGTCCGGACCACTTTTGGAAGTTGAGATGTCGAAAAAGTGCACGCCGTTGTGGCGCGAAGCACATTTCCAAGTCAAAATGTGCAAAACGCACCAGGTCCGGACCACTTTTGGAAGTTGAGATGCCGAAAAAGTGCACGGTGTTGTGGCGTGAAGCACATTTCCAAGTCAAAATGTAAAAAAAAACATGTACGGACCACTTTTGGACGTTCAAATCTCGTCTCGCGTGGCAGGCGCAAGGGATTGTGCACCTTGTCAAAAGTGAGCAAAATGTGAGGGTTTTGTAGCATTTCCAAAAACGATGGCAGGCATGGGACATGTGAAGAGGATCTGCAAAGATGCATTTTCCGTGGCAGGCGCAGTACAAGAGACATCTTCATCGGAGCTGTTAGGAGGCGAGGGCGCTGATTTCCTGAGAGGGGTTGCATTTTGGAGCATCAGATCTTCAGGTTTGCTGAGATGATTTTGCGTGACAGGTGCAGCACTTCGTATGACCTGGCATCACTTTTTCGTGGCAGGCGTAGTACTTTTGACAGGTGGAGTGGAAAAATCGCAAAACGCATTGGTACGAGGCCGTCAGCTCTGCACTCGCCTTTTCATTTTTGAAGGAAGTCTCGCAGAATTCTTTCGTTTTTGATGTTGTCAACTTCGAAAAATGAGGCAGTCTCGCAGAATTGTTTCGTTTTGGATGTTGTCCAGTTCAAAAAATGAAGAAGTCTCGCAGAACTGCTTCGTTTTTGATGTTGTCAACTTCGCAAAATGAGGAAGTCTCGCAGAAGAGCTTCGTCTTCGAGCTTGCAGATAGACAGATAGATAGACAGACAGACAGACAGACGGACAGAGATAGATAGATAGATAAATAAATCAATAGATCGATAGATAGATAGATACATAGATAGACAGGTAGATAGATAGACAGATAGATGGACAGATAGATAGATAGATAGATGGATTAGATTAGATTAGATTAGATTAGATTAGATTAGATTAGATTAGATTAGATAGATAGATTAGATAGATTAGATAGACTAGATAGATAAGATAGATAGATAGATAGAAAGACAGATAGATAGATAGATAGATAGATACATGGATAGATTGGATTGGATTGGATTGGGTTGGATTGGATTAGATTAGATTAGATTAGATTGATTAGATTGATTAGATTGATTAGATAGATTAGATTGATTAAATTGATTAGATTGATTAGATAGATTAGATAGATTAGATAGATTAGATAGATTAGATAGATTAGATAGATAGATAGATAGATAGATAGAAAGGTAGATAGATAGATAGATAGGTAGATAGATAGATTAGACAGATTAGACAGATTAGACAGACTAGATAGATTAGATAGATTAGATAGATTAGACAGATTAGATAGATTAGATAGATTAGATAGATTAGATATACTAGATAGACTAGATTGATTAGATTGATTAGATTGATTAGATTGATTAGATTGTTTAGATAGATTAGATAGATTAGATAGATTAGATAGATTAGATAGGTTAGATTGATTAGATTGATTAGATTGATTAGATTGATTAGATTGATTAGACTGATTAGATTGATTAGATTGTTTAGATTTTTTAGATTGATTAGATTGATTAGGTAGATTAGATAGATTAGATAGGTTAGATTGATTAGATTGATTAGATTGATTAGATTGATTAGATTGATTAGATTGTTTAGATCGATTAGATAGATTAGATAGATTAGATTGATTAGATTGTTTAGATTGATTAGATAGATTAGATTGGATTAGATTATATAGATTAGATTAGATTAGTCAAGATTAGTGAGATAGGTAGATAGATAGATAGATACATAGAAAGATAGCTAGCTAGTTTGCTAGATAGATAGATGGATAGATGGTAGGTAGATAGTCACAGAAAGTGGAAAAAGAGAGAGAAGAAGAGGAGACCTCATCCACCTGTCGGTCCATCAGTGGCTTCGCTCTGTCATCTGTGACTCACAACAACCAACCTCTCCTATAGGTTTCCTAGATTTGAAACTTCCGCCACCGCCTTGTGCGGTACTACTGGTATACCACTAGTATATCATCGCATCTCCAGCATGGCATCATGAAGTATAGAGCGGTTGGCTTACCCTCATTTTTGTGGTAAGACGGGAAGATCATGCAAGATAACGACAAGCGCAGAAGGTTGGACTGCCTACATCCCCGCTTCTAGCAGGGTGCTCCACGCCAGAGGAGGCGTCCCAAAGAGCATTGCTGATATGCAAGGAATTTCTCTGTGCACCATTTGCTCACACAAGGGTTATACAGCGCCTAGTAGGCGCAGGAATTACACGAGACGCTGCAACGCAACACGTTGCCCAGTGTAGCAGCATTCACGGCGACAGATGGCCCGTGTATGGGGCGCCTGGCGTTGCGGCAGCTGGCGTCCTTGGTACAGACGGCCCTTGTGTAACAGTTGTCAGGGTGTACGACACTGAATCTTTTGCTCTCCAGATCCCATTGTGGGCGTTCACCACACAGGCTGAGCTTGAGACGCTTGTGCCTATTCTTCACACAGACCCATGTACTGTTGAAAACTTCCGCCACCGCCTTGTGCGGTACTACTGGCATCAGATTGTTTTTTGAGGCATCCCAACGAACATGGGTTATTGAACATGACCCATCTAGTTTGTTGATTGGCCTATGAACAATGCTGATTTTCCAGTTTGTTACATTAGTTTACCAGAGATCTAATTTGGGTTGATGATTAGAATCAACCAAAACAGGGATTCTAACATATTCCAAGTATCAAAATATGAGGATATCATGATATCTATGTGAATCCAACTGATGAATGATGGTTCGTTGAGAATTCGTTTGGGATTATCCCAATGCCTTGGGGATTATCAGAATCAACGGGGAATCCCGTTACCAACGTCCGTAAGAGGGCCGACACGACGGATGAGCACTGCTCAGTTGTAGCAATTGAGCAGTGCCCAACATCGCCATTGGTAGATTGCCTGGTTAGTGGTTACAAATACTAGGCATCAGAATAGTTGATTGGCGATGCCATTGGATAATAAATGACGCTTGGTTGAAGAGACTTTTGCCCAAAACTTAGAGGATCTAGCTCCAAAATGGCTCCAAAATGGCTCCAAAATGGCTCCAAAATCAGGGACTGGTTGGTGGTTTGGAACATTTGGATTATTTTTCCATATATTGGGAATTTCATCATCCCAACTGACGAACTCATATTTTTGAGAGGGGTAGGTTGAAACCACCAACCAAATACTTATTAACCATCATGAAAACATATCATAACCGTTATAACCATTAACATTTACCATTATTAAGAGTATATGAACAACAGTATAATACCATATATACCAGGTGTCTCCCCAAAATGCCTGAAGAATGGCCAGGGATTCTCCTACCAAAATCCCACTGAGGCCATCCTGATTGTGCTGGCAGTGGATGGAGATGAGGCCACCCGGCTGGAAAAAAACGGTCGTTAAAACATCGCAGTAGAAGTGATCATGCAAGGGAAGTGATGATAATACATGAGGTAAAGATGAAGATGAAGATGATGATGAAGAAGAAGATGAAAATGAAGATGATGAAGATTATGATGATGATGAAAATGAAGATGAAGAAGATGATGATGATGGTTCTGATTATGATTCTGACTCTGATTCTCATCCTCATCATCGCCATCATCGATCGCCACCGAAACATTCGGACATGCCAGCTGTTATGTTTATTTATTTTTACATGCGAATACATGTCACAATGTGCCATGTCATGTGTTGTTTGTTGAAATGTAAAATAATTGGAAGGCCCAACAACCAGCCATGCCCATTTAATGTCTGTTCCGGCATAAGTCATTGCCTGGTTTTTAACACATAAAGTAGGACATAAATGGAGTAGAGATATGGCTCCCGCCACCATGGTAGAAGTTGTTTGACTGTCTATCCATTTGTTGGTGCTTTATGTTCAAATGCAATTTTCTCTTCAATCCCTATTCGAGGTGCTGATTTCAATGACCGTAGGCCGTAGGATTTTAGACGATGAGTTGCAACATGTTGTAACTATCAATCAGCCCATGGGTATTCCCACTCGTTTGATGAAAGTACATTGGGGTGTTGGACAAACGAATTGCAAATGGTCAACAAGCCATGTTGATACCGGGGTATATTCTGTACAAACATGTGGGAACCAATTTGACTACGCACTGGATGCAGCTGGGATGCATATCCAAACAATTCGTCGTGAAGTGAAGAAAGTAGAGTATGGAAGTCTAAGGAGTAGAGAAGTGAAGATAACAGAGAAGTAAATCTTAAGTAGAGAAGTGAATACTAAGATCAACATCATATTGAATTATTAATTCATTGACAACATTCTAGCTGTATTTCAGAAATTCATTCCACCTGGTTCATTATTGGGAGAAAAGGTATAAATTACAACTCATCAACAGGAATACCGGAATACCTTTCAACCAACCAGTTTCACCGGACAACAGAGCATACTACTATTCCACAATCACCGCAGAGATATTACATGAGTCATTGGGGTTTTATGCATATGTGTAAAAATATACCATGATATGTACCAGCAACCGATATTACTGTAACCATATTTCTGGCAATTACTATTAACAATGAACAATTATTAACCAATCATTAAGAATATTAACCATATATCAATCAAATATTGACCCAAACATATAATTATATATATATATTAATCATATATTATATTGTAATAACCATATAATTAGAATATATATATATAAACATATCGACCTTTTAAGTTAATTATAAATCATCTGAATTGATCATATCAATGTAAATATTTATAACAATCTTATAACCATAGTAATCATATATCAACCATATATTAACCATATAAAATGATCATCTGGTTGGTGGTTTGGTAAATTGATCATAAAAACCATGCATCCCTATAGTTCCAGACTCCGCCAGGTCCTGGCGCTGTGTCTCAACCGCCCCGCGCCGCAAGCCTCGCGCGCGTCGCGCGCGAGTTCTCCGCGGGCCGCGTCACGGGCCCCGCGCGGCTTTGGGGCGGCGCTGAGCCGTTCGCGCCGCCAGGTGACCCGTACTCAACAGCTGTGCCCAGGATTGCCAAGGAAAAATGGGGGATATTCATAGGATCTGGTAATAGTTAGATGGGCCATGGAGTTAGTTAACTATAGTTAGTAAGTGAATTATAATTGGGATATATTGGGAAAAAAAGGGGGTAACAAATCCCCAGTTACTAACCAGGAATCGCTAATCCCATGGCCCATAGGATTTTTCAGGCACTTGGGATTGCTGTCATTCAATTGCATATTTCCCAACATAAAGCGAGAATCACCTATTCAATTGGGTCAAACAAACATGAATCATTGAAGGAACTGGGCCATGGTTTCTACATGGTTTCTATAGCTATGTTAGATAAACAGAGGACAATAGGATCAAGCAAGGAACCATGTGGTTTATAGTTTAAAATAATATCATGGGAGATAGAAGATCCAATGCGACTTGAAGCGTTTTTGGCCGCTGAATAACCAACCCAAAAAACGTGTGTTTTAACCAACAAAAATTGGGAATATTGGTCACGCAAAATATGGACTTGACCATCGAACAATTGGAATTTCATGATTTTACCAACAAAAGAATTGATATGAATCGATTATTGAACCAGCAACAATTGGGTTTTAACCATCCAAAATTCATATATGTCCTAGTTTTTGGACGATTTGCATTGCGTGAGTAAAGAACTGTGCCCTCCGGCAATCGAACACGGCAAGTTAAAATCCCGATTGAAGGCGAAGATTTTCCGATTGAAGCATATCTAAATGCCCATCTATACTAGATTGTCCAGCATGTTTGATGGGAACCCATCCGATTTATGTGGTGATCGGGTGGACTCGTGGACTCGTGGACCTCCCGATTCAGGATTCGTCAGAGGACACTGTGCACTTTGGTGGGGACGAGGAGATCTCCACTGATCCATGAGCATTCCCCATTTGGGGCAATTTATAATGGAATTAGCCATTGATAGCATGGTGATTTTCCATAGTTATGTAAACGTTTACCAGAGGGTATCTAATACCTAACCCGTCCAAGCAGTATACAATCCAACCTTTTGACCGGCTGGCACATTTGGGTGTATAAACCTAGTGTATACCCTCCACATGGCTACGTCTATAGGGAAAGTGATCACAACCAATGGGATTTTTTGAGTGCCAAAATGTTCAGCGAAAGCCTATTTGCTCATTTTTCGGATTGACTCCTCGCAAAAAAAAACACAGAGGAAACCCACAAGGTGGTGCCCCACAGTTAGCTAAGTTGGTTTATAACTCTCATGACTATGGTTTATGGCAGATATAACTATAGTTAATGGGGTTTATACACCAACTTATAACTGGGGGGCACCATCCTGTGGCTATGATGACCATTTGTGATTGGCCAAGAAACCAGAAACGATGAGGATTCAATGACCGCTGGAGTTATGATGTATTCACAGAGTGCAGCTTCAAATTGAGGGATGCAATTTCTGATTCAATCGTCCATCTAGGTATCACCAATGTGCACCACTATGGTTTCAGATTGAGATCGATTTTCAAAAAGACGTTCACCAAAAAAAATTCCCTCTTGTAATCAATCATGGTTTCCTGGAAAATCCCACATGTATAGGTAAACCTTGGATGGGTAGTTTAATCCTTTAATCTGTTGCTATTGTAACTCGAATATCCGCTAACCCGCTAACAAAATATTTGTTGTAGGGTATCCGAGATTAACAATCCCAGATGCTCCATGTATGGAATATCCACCTGCATTTGTATACATTTGTGCCATTTTGCGGGTAAATGTAGGTAAATATTCCATACATGGAGCATCTGGGAATGTTTGGTAAATCCCCACATTTAGTTCGATGATTCTCCGATCGACCCCAGCTAGGTTACGGTTCGGTGATTTTCCTAGCGACGTTTCGGCCTTTTTGCACCAGGACTTTGACCGTTGGACCTGTTTGTCCCCAGGCGGTTTTTGCACCTGGAAAGCCACCACAGCTGCTTCGTAATGGGAGAATACTGGGAGAATAGTGGGACAATAACTGGGTAGTAGTTGGATATACAGGTATAAAACCATGCAGTGGATATTTTTACGAATAGCTATTTTCACACCAGGTGTTTGGTTCATGTATCGTGGCGGAAATCAAACATGGTTGGCTCCTCTATAATTGCGGGGCTTTAGGGGAAGATCAGCCCTAAATGGCGACTTGTCCTGCAAGCCATGGAGCTGATTCCCAGCGAGTAAGATTCAATTCGCCCTAGAACCAACCGTTTAGTATTGGATTTGTGCATTTTTTGGGCGCATATGGGTATTTTCATTCATTTCCTATTAGGATCTATGGGGCAGATAGGATGATTGTCACCATCTTGGTGGAGTTTCCAGTAGTGGCGGCTCTTGCCCATATGGCCTCTTTTACCAGGTCAAATCTCCAAATTGTTGCTGGTGAAATCCCAAATGATCTTAGCATGTTAAAAGCAACATTTTTTTTGTCAGGTCAAATCTGTTTTCGGTGGGGTTCAATCCCCACATTTGGAATTCTGGCGAAATCAAAACTGTTTGTCGGTCTAATTGCAATTGTGCGGATGAATTAGATCCTTGTCATTTTTTGCCAGATGGGTTAAAGCAACACTTTCGCTGGGTAAATCCACATGTTTGTTGGTTTTGCCAGGTAAATTTTATTTTGTTGTCGGTGAAACCCCATGGTTTCCAGGCTGTTCAATCATGCCAATCCCTTTTTTGGGTAAAATCCACATGTTTCTTCGACGAAAACTCCATCCATTCACAGGTGAAAGTCACCATGACGCCACCCCACTGGGTGACAGCGGCTTGTGGTGGGTCCGAGATGCCGCGGAGGTGTGGGTCTCTAGTGCTGCCAGGGGCTGCAGGTATCCAAAAATAATGATGAATAGCCATCAATATAGTGATTAACAAGGAGAAATATATAATGATTAATTAATTAATTAATTAAGTTAATTAATGAATTAAGAATGATTCACTTGGATTTGCTGAAGATGATTTGGCTGTATTTGGCTTCTTTCCCCAGTGTCACTGGGACATCTTTTTTTTGCGGAGAATCTATAGGGAACTGTTGCTTTGGGACCATCTTGAGCAAATCCGAGAAATTCGGAGATTGTGTAGTCCAGAATGGTGGAAAACTATGGGAACAGAAGTAATTTCAAACTCAATCTGGTTGGTGGTTTGGAACCGTGGAATTTTATTCCATATACTGGGAATGTCATAACCCCAACTGACGAACTCATATTTTTCAGAGGGGTTCAAACCACCAACCAGGAAGTAATTTCAAATACAACTTCCAGCAACAAAATAAGGGTACTGTACTGGGCCCAAATAACTTGGGCTTGAGGTTCCGTTCTCATTTCGAAATTTCAATCACACAAGGAATCTGTGAGGAGTAGGTTCTATTTTGGGGGGCTCCTCGGCAAAAACGAACAAGACTGGGAAAGCAAGCAACCTACATTGGGATTTGTTTAGTCTTCCAACAGCAGCTACAGAAGGAATACACAATCGAACCGGCAAATGCCCCCGCCATTTTTTCCCAAACAACATTAGGACCCCTTCAAAACAGATCAAAACAGCAACTTTGCATTCTTCAGTCGTTAGTTTAGATCATAATCTAGTTTTACAACTTTGGTTCCAAGCATGTATTCTCTGAAATTCTCTGGCAATCTAAGATGGCAATGGAGAATCACCTCGAATCACCTCCGTCGCAGTGAGGCATGGAGAACCAGAAGGCGCGACTCCCCGACAATGAGGCTAAAAGGATGTAGTCTGTAGCTATCCCCCAAAGATAAAATAATTGTTTACAATATGTCAGTTGAATTTTGATGTTCTAATAGTTCTATCTTTTTGGGCGTGATTTAAATTATAATGGGACAAGCAAAAGCTGGAAGAATTCTGCCCGATTCTGCCCGGTGACGGTGCCGAGATACTTGGAGGATCATCCCACGGATCGTAAGTGGTTAGTAACTGGACTGATAACCCATGTATAAATTAGAATAACTTGGATAATCCACTTAGGAACCAGCAACTTTTCACCACTGAGACTTGAACTGGGCAATGGAAAACATCATTTTAGAGGATTGTTACCCTCTGGTACACCAACATAGCTGTGGAAAATTACCATGTTTAATGGGAAAACTCACTATAAATGGTCATTTTCACAAGCTTTTGCTTTTTGTATGTTTACCAGAGGGTACTGTGATGAGGTCATGATTTGCAGTTCCACTTCCTATGCGAATCTGGGTAAATGACATGACGACCTCATGTCGCGACCTCACTGGAAATCATAGTTAGATTGTGTCCCAAAATGGCCGAACAATTCAGGTTAGTGAAATATTGTAATCTACCCAGATGCATGGTTGTAATATGCGAGATGTTGCACCGCCAGATTACCAAAGGTTTCTGTCCGCATCAAAAACTAAAGGCGTTTGGCTTGCGCGAATCTGATGTGTCCAAAAAGATGTTTCTTTATTTGGATCACTCACACTGATTTGAGTTTCCTTCCTGACACTCCTCGCTAGTCAGCGCTTTCAAACCCAATGTGGATAGTAGAGAACAATTTGGTATATCTATTTCAACTTAGACATGTATCTATACAATATCTGAATAAAGCATTTGATGGCAAGCAATGTCATGTAATTACGTATCACTTTTTTCGAAGTGTCACAAGCATGAAGACACTGAAATGCCTGAACACCTTATTTTCACTACTATTGGATGAATAGCAGAGCGTATTGCTTTACAAGGTGTTACTTACAAAGGGACAGGTAGAAACATTTATGGTAACTTATGTTGATAAATGTTGGACTCAAGGTTGGTTAGGATCTCTGTTGGGTGCTTTAGATACTCATAGATAATAGATACTCGTTTATCCTGTGTGGAAGAACCCATCAATGAAACGCGCAATTTGAACTTTGGTGTGTGTGATGCAGTTAGGGAAATCTGGCACCCATCCAGCTGCTCCAGCCCATCTACTAAGCTGAACAAAAGCTTGAGTACCGACTCTTCCGTTTGTATGTCACCTATTTGCGAAATATACTGTATATTGTTGGTTAGCACCATGCGTATTCAATCAATACTGTATCCTCAGGTTGGTACACCAAATAGTTAGTAGTAAACCATTCATATGGATTGATCATATCCCATTAACTCACCATTCTGATTTCTTTAATGGATACGGTGTATATATAGTTCATGGATATTCATATCCCCAGACTTTTGCCTCGTTGAGGTAATCTCAGTTCGAACGAGAAGATTAATTCCTGGTTTAGTTTTGCTAAATCCCAGATTTAGGTGAGTTAAGTCAATTTTAGGTTGCTTAAACTTGGATTTCAGCAAACGGATCGTTTATTTTGAGTGGTAAATCCGCTGATCATCTACTAGATGTTTCTATTTTTGCTGCAATTTTAGATGGATCCCCAGATCTTCAGATAATACCCCAATTGATTACTTTTGCTGATTTTTTTCAGCACATCCCCAGATAATCCTCCACAGGATCCCCAGATCTTCATGATCTTCGCGGCACAGGTTGTCCCCTTGCAACATGCTCTTCGCGCGCGGCGCCGTTCGCCTGGGGCGCCTGGGCAAGGAACCCCCATTTTTGGGTCCTGAAATTCCTTTGCCTTGACTTTATGATATTCCCAGTATATATATATATATACACTTGGAAGTGCAGTTCCAGTTGTAAGTCGATACTATATATATATAACCCATATAGTTATAGGGGTCATATCTATCCATATGTTAGTGTACCCTCACTGCACCCTCAAGTTGGAAGTGCGTCCCACTTGGTAGGTGGTTGATTACCCATATGTAACCCATATAAGTGAGGATATTCCATTTATAACTGGGGTGTAATATGGTTATTTTCCACTTACCAACTGGAATGCACCCCCTAGCACCCTTTGGTAATTTCACAGCTACAGATAATGGCTTATGTAATGATTTTTAAAACATCCAAAAAGCGTGAATGTTGAATTACTAGGTTATGGGATGTAACCAGGAGAACCTGGGAGTTTCGGATAGATTGAAAAGCACAACCAGCGATGATGGGGAAAGCCTGGAAACAACAGGTGTAGCAGTTACAGCCAACTATATTTGGGACGTGCTAGAATACAACTGTTTGGTGGTTTGGAACCATGGAATTTTATGACTTTCCATTCAGTTGGGAATAATCATCCCAACTGACGAAGTCATATTTTTCAGAGGGGTGGCTCAACCACCAACCAGACAAGGTGGTGCCCCATAGTTACCCCAGTTGACGCACATAACTTGGTCAACGATGGTTTATTGTATGTGTAAGTATAGTACTGGTATCTGCTCTTGCCCGGTGGGTCTGTGAACCTCTTCTGTCCGAGTATTTCGCTCGAAAACGTTCATATTAATGAGGCATCCAACTACTTATGAACAATGACGACCATTGCCCTTGTCTTGATTGCAATGGCCATCAACCATGACAAGTTGGCCAAAATGTTATTCTCAGATTCGGCGGCGATCGCATCAATGGTGGTGATGGGCTTGTCGACCGGATTGATGACCAGAGAACAATTTGGACCTGAAGAAACACCTGCCGGGGATGACATATACGCGCAGACGGCCGAAGAGTAGGCAGCTAGGCCGCAGTTGATTTGTCTTCGGACGAACTGAGCGGCGCTGATCGTAACGCCTTGATTGCATACATGACTGATTGGTGGTTTGGAACATGTTTTTATTTTTTGGGAATAATAATCCCAACTGATTTTCATATTTTTCAGAGGGGTAGATATACCACCAACTAGATGAGGTCAAGTATCACCGGAGAGATTACTCTGAAGGACACTATCTTTCGTGGTATTGCCATAATCCCCTGAGTGCTGATGAAGTGTGAATGGCTTTATAAACCAAGTTATAACTGAGGGGGCACCACCTTGTATTGTTTGGTTGAAGATAAGTTTCAATATTGATTGCAAGTTTGTCTCAGGGTTGAATATCTGCAATGGGTCATGGAGGAAGAGTTTGGGATGGTTTCACACTTGAGCTCACTTGAAAACCCGAAACCACCCTTCAGTTTTGAGGGTTTCCTTTTACCCTCTGGTAATTTAATATAGCTATTGAAATGACCATAGAAATAGTGGATTTACCCATTAAAAACAATGATTTTCCATAGCTTTTTGTATGTTTACCAGGCCGGGTAAACATGAGGGCAAACAAAGAGCCATTCCATCCGCTGAAGTGGAGCATAGGGCCAACTATTGACATGTTTTAAACACCAGCTGCTGGCCAGCTAGAAACAGAAACCTATCGGACCTGGGGGCCCCTTCCTGTAGGGATATGAAACAATTACTGTATATATATATATATATAAACATATGCTGGTTGAATCTTGATCATTGTTCTGCCAAGGAGTTTGGAGCTGGAATTGTGGCAGAGACGCGGCGAGGCATCACATTTTTCGCGGGAATTTTCTGGGGTAAGCCTGGCTGAAGGGTTGGTAAACCAGCAGAAATTGAGCTTTTTTTTGGGGGGGGGCTGCAACAATTCGGACCTTGAGGCAGAGAATTGATGTGATATGCAAGTTGATCCAGTCACTGCACATCCAGTGACTGCATCCACTTCCCCAGCCAGTGACTGCATGCGCAGATGATCTTAGCTAAGACGTTAAAGACCAGCTGCCGGTACAGTCAAAGACTGTTGTGGAGGAATATGTCATCAGTACGAAGTAGGTTTTTTAGGCATCTACGATTGTTGACTTTTTTCCCCATAAAAGCTCATGATAGCACCATACCATTACTTTAAATGGGCCATGGCATTAGAACTATCTCCCCACTCATGGCCTATTTATATACTACCATCTACCCAGTCAAGCAACTCGATGGCCCATCTAAGATCATCTAAGTAGATATATCACTGTATCGCGTACCTGTTTGGGTCAGCTACACATAATCATACCACAATGTAATTGCTGGATAGATTATAGCCATAGCATCATAATTGATGAGTAGATTGTACCTATCTATGGTGAATATTCCCATCATCTCACCATTATTTTTTTAGATATGGTTGGTTATGGATATATGACTTATGTATCCAACAAGGTGCCCGCAAAGGTGAGGTTCGTCGGTTTATAAGCCCCATCAACTAGTCCAATATATCTATGACAAACGCAACGAATTTAAGCCTATGCTGGCCTACGGCACTGTTTACCAGCTTACCTTGCATAATAGCAACCCGCAAAAAGATAGAGCTCGCAGCAAAATCTCCATTACCCACATGATAAATCCCATTAAATCACCATTTTGCTGGTAAAAATAAGTAAGATATCAGATACAATGTGAGGCCCCCCAGTTATAAGTTGATTTACAAGCCCCAGTAACTATAGTTATAAATACCATAAACCATAGTTATTGGACTTGTAAACCAACTTAGCTATCTTGGGGGCCTCACATTGTATCCATAGATATCCTAAGATCACATGAAATCTCCATGACTGTCCTGTGATTTCTTTGCAGATGGGTCTGGTGCGTCACTGGAGCCCCAAGCTGCGCGACGTTTTGAGCGCCTGTTGCAGCTACGAGGGCCCCGGAGCTCGGGGGGTTCGTGGCTCGGCGATCGGCCCCCCAAAAAGGAAAACGGGCCATTTGAAAAGGGAAAGACCATGACTATTGATTGATTATATATATATATATGTATATATATATAATATTTTATCATCTATTGAATCTATTTATTGATTGATATCTATTGATAGATTGGGTTTATCCATGGCTGTAGTTTTCCTATGATTTTCCCATTTCAATATCCATGACTATAGATTTTCCATGACTATTGATACTGTCAATGGGATTTTTTTCAGGATCCTAAAATGGAAGTACTTTAGTACCATATAAGGCTAATATGTTTGGCCATATTTTGCTGGGATATTCCCTGAAATTAAGGCCTGAAAAATAGGCCTTATATATGGTAGGTACCTCCAATTTAGGTTCCTGAAATGGCCATTGATACTGGTTGATGGTTTGGAACATGTTTTATTTTCCATTTTTGATATGGGATGTCATCCTTCCCATTGACGAACTCTTTTCAAGATGGGAAAGAAACCACCAACCAGTTTTTAATGGGAATATAATCTATCCAGATGTGATATTCTGGTTAATGATGGTTAATCAATTGGACCTACCATATTAACTTGGGTTTATTATGCTATACTATTGATTCATAGTGATTTAATGCTGGATTAACAGTGGATAAACTAGTGGGATTTGCTGAAGATGATGATTTTTTGGCATTTTCCCAATGGGAAATCCACTACTTGTGATATGTTTTTCTTTTGGGGGGTCCTTAAGCAAATCCAAGTATAACTGGTTGGTGGTTTGGAACATTTGGATTACTTTTCCATATATTTGGAAGAATAATCCCAAGTGACGAACTCATATTTTTCAGAGGGGTAGGTATACCACCAACCAGATTATTAACCATATATTAACCATATATTAACCATATATTAACCATATATTAACCATATATTAACCATATATTAACCATATATTAACCATATATTAACCATATATTAACCATATATTAACCATATATTAACCATATTGTTCATTTATTAATGGATAACCAAAAAATCTGGTATTTGAACAAGCCATTCCCCCATTCACATTCAACACCCCCAGAAACCTGGATGTAGGGGATGAACCATATAGGCTTTCCAAGTGGGTGAGTCTGAGAATGAGGTATAGCACCCCAGGGAAAACCCATGATTAACTAGTGGATTGAGGGTAATTACCAAATTTTCAGACAAACACATCTGGTATGTGCATACAATGAGAGTTGTTGTGATATATCCTAGAAATGGATAAACAACAATTGGTTTTATTGTTGAAATATTAGATCAGTTCATATCTGGATATATACTGTAATGGGATATATAATTAATGGGATAAATAATGGGATATATAATGGGAATATATTGGAAAATATGTATATACGACCCCTGAAACACAATGAATTTACCATCAAAAAAGGACAATTGACGGCCAAAACATGGTGGTATAGTTGTGGCATAATGGTGGTTTTTGATGGAGATAAGGCCAGTTGATTCAACGGTCAATAGGGTTTTTTCATCGGATAATTTTTAGATGACTCTGGGATAATGGTGAGACAATGGTGAGATAATGGAATATACCCTCTGGTAAACTAACATAACTATGGAAAATCACAATTTTCAATGGGTAAATCCAATGGCAGTTTTCAATAGCTATGTTAAATCACCAGATGGTAATTAAACAACGCGTATCAATATGTTTGGTGTATATTGATATCCATTGTTTATATTTCATTGTTAAGATATATATATATATATTCCATAATGGAAGAACGGTGTTTAGATAACGGAATGTGTATGTATATATATATATTATATCACTATTATTAAGGTACACCATTATATAATGGAATATATATATATATATATATACACCATTCAGATACTATTCAGTTCTTGGTTTTCCTTGTGGATTGAACCAAAATAAAGCAGACATATTGGGAGTGGGAGTTCAACTTGCAAGCAGTTGTTAGATGCTGTTAGGACGTGTAGTGTAATTTAAGCAACAAAATGGGAGTGCAACCAACAATAAAGGTTGAGAATTTACCAGTTAAGCAGCAAACACATGGAATTAAACTAACAAAACGTTGCTATCTAAGTAACAAAAAAGTGGGGGTTCAAGCAGCAAAACATTGACAGTTGCGACCCAAACAGTTCATGTCCAATAATTGTATCCCCATCACCCTATCAACTGGTTGGCTTACCCCACTATTGTTTGTTCAATACCACAGTTTACCTGCCCAAGAATTCATAGATTGACCAGTGATTTTGAGCATTTAGCCGTCAGGAGTTTAAGCAATTATACCGAAATGAATGACGCCCACCAACAAGACTCAATAATGTTTTTTGTTCCGAGACATGGGTTCATCCGAAAATTGGTGTTGCATGAAATAGCTCTATAACTACACACTCAAAAGTTGCACCCTCCACCCAACTAACATAACCCCTGTCAGAACAGGGGGTTGAACGGCTATTTTCGAGTAACGATGGCAAATTCTCAGGGTTTTTGTTAGTTGGGTGGGGGGGAATGGTAATTTCAACAGTAATATGATGATCATCACCTTTTGTTGGGGGCTTCATTGTTGAAAACTGCCGCTAATAAGTTAAGTGTCGGTCCCAAGCTGGGAAAATCCACTATAAATGGTGATTTTCAATAGTTATGTAAACATTTACCAGAGGGTAGTGGTGGTGGTTGCTCATCCAATAAAATCAGGGAAACGTCGATGATATCCCTCAAGGTGGTGCCCCAGTTCGGAATCGCTAAGTTGGTGAACATAAGTCCAATTTCACTAGGGTTGATGAATGGGGGTTATATCTATAGTATTCATGAGGATTATAAACCAACTTATAACTGGGGGGCACCATCCTGTATGATGGTTGTTTATATAGATGTATATTCCCATTTTTCCCAGCAAATTACATCTCCATCATATCCATATCAGTTGGTTCACCCCCCATTTTTTCCAGGAAAGCAATAGATTTTCATCCCCAAGTTGCGAACCAGCTAGGTCTTGGCCTTTATGGGGACCATCACGGTTTCGGACTCTGGGAGGTGACTGGACGACTCGTTCTGGCTGGAGAAGTGGATCCTCAACTGATCCTGGGGATACCATGGCTTTGTATAGCTATCTGCAAAGTGGTGCCCCAGTTCGTTAGCTAAGTTGGTTTATAACTCTCATAACTATGGTTTATGGATGTTTATGGCAGATATAACTATAGTTAATGGGGTTTATAAACCAACTTATAACTGGGGGGCACCATCCTGTGGGTAAATGTCATCACGACCGAACCCTGTTCTCCCGAACCCTGGAATCATGGTTTTTATAGGGAAATCATCGCCATGGCCGAACAATTCAGCTTAGTGAAATATTATAATTTAATATAATTTACCCAGATACATACTGTGGATGCAAGAAATCCTGCAACAGTTGAGATATAGATTCTAGATGGTATAAACATCCCATGTGTTTCATAGTTACCTTCATAGTTAACAACTGGTGCAGGATTTTGTTCATCCACAGTACATATGGAGACAGAGATGCACATTATTTTTAATATACGTGTATACATATATATATGTGGTTGTTGGTTTGGAACATTTTTCCATATATTGGGAACAATAATCTCATTTGACTAATATTTTTCAGAGGGGTTGAAACCACCAACCAGATATATATATATATATGTTATATGTTGTATAAGGATAAATCATGGCGACCTCACTGCGAAGTCACTGGAATGATTATTATTGATTACTATGGATTACTGCTGCTGCTCCTGCTACTACTACTACTACTACTACTAGTACTACTACTACTACTACTACTACCAACACCAGCACCACCACCACTACTACTACTTCTATTACTACTCCTTTGAATCGCGCATGTCCTTCGGGTTCGCTTGAATTTTTTCAGGTATACCGGTATACCTGGGGTAGAGTCGAGCGTAAGCTGAGTCTGGCTACATGGCACATAATTCGGATTCAGGGATGGATGATTTCATAGCGGTTCCCAGCCGTTCCCTCAGATCTTTTAGTCCTTTGCAGGATTTAATGGTAATGATTTCATTATATATATATACATATATGTGTCTAAAGATAGAAGTTATATATGTCTTACATATATATATATATGGTTGATATATGTCATAATATAATGATAATAGATACACACACTAGAAGTTATTAATGTTACGTTTGGCGGGGGAGCTGTGAAGCGATTTATCAACCAAGAACAACCACCATGAAACCAGATTAAAACACAACATACAACTGATCATGATATTTTAATCTGGATTAAAGATGTATTATCAGCTGTATGTTTAAGATAGATGTATTATCTATTAACATACACAATCCATGCAACTATCAGTTGGAACTCCTTGTGATGATAGCCTGAGTATTGCGCACTGGCTGGAGAAAGCCATGGGAGAACCATCCAGCTATAAACGGATAGGTTCAAGTCTCCAGTTTTCCGTTGGCAAATTTCCACCGAAAATCATGGTAGAAATAGTAGAAAATCCTGGATTGCACATCCTATACCCTCTGGTTATTTAACATAGCCATGGAAAATGGTTCATTTATAGATGGTTTACCATTAAACGTTGTGATGTTCCATGGTTATGTTAGTTTACCAGAGGGTAATACCAGATAATTTTTACCAGTTAGTTATATTATTTTCCAAAGAATAGGATGTTTATAGTACAAAATCATCTGTTCATGCAAAAATCTTATTGTTTGCTGCTTAAATCCCTATGTTTGCTGCTTCTGTTTTCCCTCAACACCTCGTGATTTCTGCAAAGCCACAACAAGTGATTTCTACAGGTCAACTCCGCTAATTCCAAATGTTTGATTGTTAGCAACTCCTTCAAGGTAGGGACTCCCCATTCTTTGCAGATTACCCTCTGATAATTTAACATAGCTATTGAAAATGGCCATTTATAGTGGATTTACCCATTAAAAATTGTGATTTTCCATAGTTATGTTAGTTTACCAGAGGGTAAATTCCAATTGGGTTGCCACAAGTTCCCAATTCGGTGTAGGGAATCCCTGATAAAATTCCCCACGTTTGTTTCCCCGAAAAACGTCGGAGGCTGCGGTCAGTCTCGCCTTTCATGAAGGTGATGATCAGGCGAAGGGTTGGGAAAATCCTGGCCTTAATGGTTTCACCATGGACCATGGACCATGTTTGAATTGGGATTTCATCATGAAAATCATGGTCAAATAATCATTGGAATATACCAAAATATACCCAAATATATATATATATACCAAAACCGGAATATCATCTCAAAATATACCAAAATTGGAATATCATCCCAAAATATACCGAAATTGGAATGTCATCATTGAAATCTCAAACCTTTGCCAGAGCTTGGTGAAGGGTAGTTTCACGGGTTTCATCGAGATGTTATTGTGGACGATTATCTGCGAAGACTTGTCTGTTAGGCAACCAGATGTGAATGTTGCAATTAGGTTGTCTGGTTGGTGGTTTGGAATATTTTTTATTTTCCCATATATTGGGAATAATAATCCCAACTGACTCATATTTTTCAAAGGGGTTGAAACCACCAACCAGTTGTGTTCATCATATTCATGATCCGGATGTATTGCATGATACATCCCTAGCAGGATGGATATTCTTGTTCAGCCAAACTTCCCCGGTTAGCAAATTTGTGGATTTGCCTACACACTGGCTATCTACACTGTATCTATATTTCATTTTTTGCCCCCCAGTTATAAGTTGGTTCATAAACCCATCTAAATATAGTTATAAGTATCATACACTATTATTATTATAGTTCTAAAACAACTTAGCTAACTATTGGGCCCCATCCTGTACGATAAGTTATTTGCATTGATTTTCTAAACCAGTGCAGTTTGGGATGTCCCATTCGTGAACAAAGCCGATGATGAAGCTTTACAATTTGCTGTGACTCAGGCAGGGCCGAAATTGATTGCACCCCATCACGCAGCGGCCCTGAAAGCTAACATCAAACCTAAAGAAATAGCGTTGGAATACATGTTGCGGTACTTTAATGGTCAAAAGTATCGGTTCTATATTGTATTTCAGCGTTGAAATGTTGAAGACCTTTCGGCCAAACTGGAAAATGTATGAACATGTGTGTAATTTTTGAGGAATGTCCGCTGCACAGCATGGCTATGTGGATCCATCATTTGCTGCTAAAGGTGCAGCAGATGAGACTGATGAGGTCGAGCTTCAGGTGCTGTGCTTGACTGGAGAAGGATTGACGCTGAGAGTCAGTCGCTCCATGGCTGGGTCTGACCTGCGCAGGTTGGTGTCAGGGAAGCTTTCATGCAAGCCAGGCGCAAAGCTCGTCGTGCATCATGTGAATGGACAGCTGACGCTGAATGAAAACTTGGGAGACCAAGGGATTGTTGGAAAAACCGCAGTGCTGTCCTGCACTTACATACCAACTGATGTGTATACAGCATGGCGTTATGTCTGTGAGCTCCCAAATTGTGAGAGAGAGTTTGCACTAGAAGGTGTTACACATCTTGAAGGAGCAACGCACGGAGAATATTTACACCATCTCCCCTGCAGCCTTGCAAGCCTGACTTTTGGCAACAGTTTCAACCAAAGCCTGGAGAGCGTGACCTTGCCATCGAGTCTTCAAAGCTTGAGTTTTGGCGCTGACTTTGACACAAGCCTGGAGCGGGTGACCTTGCCATCA